TCTTTTTTTTTTAAAAGAAAACGGATGGTTTTTGACTCGTCTATGGCCTGCATTAGAAGTTGATGGGTTACTCTGCACAGCTGCACCAGTTTTAGTAATTATCCCCATATGGGTTCTTTCATATGGGTGAGCTCAGCTCCATTCATCTGAGGATCCGAGAGCAGATCCCCTGCTGAATTGGAGCAGAATGGGATCGATGGCATTTTGTGACATTCATGCATGTTCAGTTTTTCATCCGCATTTTGACAGCAAGCTGTGACAGACCCATGTTGGAACTATGGGCTGCCGAGTGTAAATGAACTTCCAATCAATCATGCTTAAATCCAGAAAAACAGAAAAAGACCTGGGTGGACCAGGGGCGGACTGACAACTCATGGGGCCCCCAGGCAATAGGGGATCATGGGGCCCCCCTGTGTCCTTGCCCAAACTCAAAAAAAAAAATGAAAAAGGTACCGGGGGCATCTCATGGGGCCCCCTATTGACCCCAGGCCCTCGAGCAGTGCTGAGTTTCCAAATGGTCAGTCCGCCCCTGGGGTGGACAGAGAGGTAGGCGAATATACATGGACACAAGTCAGTTTACATCCACCTGCCCACAGACCTGTATGGAGCTTCTGATCAGGTCCACCTGAAAAACCAACAGGCAGAGCTGATCGGAAAATCTGTGTGAAAGGGGCCTTTGTCATAAATGAGGTGTGATGTGATGGTCAGCCACAATGGACATGAAATTGTTTCCTGAGGCTCTGGATCCTTGTGGTGACCATACACATATGATAGATATCGATATCAATATGATACAATGATTCCTCATAGAATTGGTCAATATGATCAAATCTATGAATTATTGAAAAGACGCATACTGTGTCTGTGTCACCAAATGATTTGCAGAAAAAAACAATTTCATAGAAATTTGATCTGGGCAAAAAATGTGATTGTAAGAATGTAGATAGATTGATTTGCTCTTTCAAGTGGAACTAAAGTTTTCAAAAAATGCAAGCAGGCAGCTTTTTAATGCAGAGCAGATATGCTCCTATGTCTCTTCTGGAACAAGCCTATCTGCCTGTTCACAATCTTCCATTGAATCTACACTGAATTGCATATAGGCTCTGTCCTGTCAGTTGTCTCTAGGTCACTGGAATACAATAGTTAAGCTACATTCACACCTAAGCATGATGTTTTCAAGTGCTTTTTTTTCAAGAACTTTTGAGCATTTTTTTTTTGTAGAATTGCACATTTTTGCAGCTGCTGAAAAAGGGATGGACAGCTGCTGTTTGAGCAGATAATACAGCAAAAAACGCTCATGTTATTCTTTTCAGGCATTCCTATTGAAGTCTACGGCAACAAAAACGCTTGATTCTGCATGAAAAGTAGCTATTGAAAAACAAGAGCTATTGAAAACAATAGGTTTTTGCTTGCTGAGCACTTTTAAGTTTCGAGCTACAAAACACTCAAGTGTGAACGTGGCCTAAATGGCATTAGCCATACTAAAAGGATTGGTCATACTTGTCTTTTAGTCCTCATGTACATTGGATGTTTAGATGAGAGCAGAGGGCACAGGTCCCTGTCCAGCCCCACTGCTTGCAGCCTCTCCAACTGTAGCAGTACTAATGTTTAGGGTAGTATGTGTCCAAGGACAAAAGCTTGGGAAGCAAATCTGCATTCTGAGCATTGGTCCCTGGGTGCATACTTCCCCAAACATCTGTTCTGCTAGGTGCAATATCCAGCCCAGTGCAGCTGCAGAAGTATTCAGCCTCCCATAGAGTTAACAGTACCCCAGCAGTGGAACTGGATGGTGTACCTGTGCTCTCCACTCGCAGCTCATCGCCACAGCACCATGTACCTGGGCTGAATTCCCAGAATGCATTGGGCCTTAAAGTGGTTCTAAAAGCTCAAGGTTTTTTACCTTTATGCATTCTATGCATGAAGGTAAAGACCTTCTGTGTGCAACATCCCCCCCAGCCTCCCTAATACTCACCTAACCCCCTCTCGATCCAGTGATGTGCACTGGAGTCTCAGCTATCCCAGTACTCTCTCTCCTCATTGGCTGAGTCAGTCACAGCCAGCAAGCCAATGAGAAGAGGGAGGGAGTGGGGCCGAGCCATAGCTCCATGTGTGAAAGGATACATGGGGCAGCAGGTGCCCCCATAGCAAGCTGCTTGCTGTGGGGCACCTGACAGGAGGGAGGGAACGGAGAAGAGGAGGATCCAGGATGCACTGTGCAAAACCACTGCACACAACAGGTAAGTATATAAAAAACAAATACACCTTTAGAATCACTTTCAACCTGGGTTAACATGTGTGCGGTGCAGTATATTGCATGTGATTCGCACAGGAACCACACCATATTCCTGTGCAAATCACATGCGATTTCTGTGCGGTGCAATTTGAGCCATATATTTTATATGGCTCTATTCGCACTGCACCAGCACCAAAAACATGCAGGTTCCTTTTTTGGGTCCGCTCTAGAATCGGATCGCATGGGTATTCCGCTTCTGCACATCACATCGCGTTTTGCGGACCGCTTTCAGGGTGTTGTTAGCTTAACATACACACCTGCAGCGGTTTGCATAAATGGAGTGCGATTCTGATGCGGTGCGGAATTGCTGCTAATTCCGGACCGCATCAGTGTGAACCAGGGCTAAAGCAGATCTAAAGTTCCACTGTCCCAAACTACTAGCAAGTAGACTCTCTACTTCAGAAGACATCTACAATGTCTCTTCTCCTCACTGTCTTCTCTGGCTTGTAATCTGACCTGCGCATGCACAGCGCAGCGTTGCTGGCATGGTCCCTGTGTGCCAGGATGACTGACTCCTGCGCATGCGACATCCTGCACCAGCCAATGAAGATGGCCAAAGACCAGCACCACTCAGAAGATGCCGGTGCCTGTGAGGGACAGGGACTGATGAAGAAAAGGTATGTTTGGCTCCACTTTAAAGTGGTTCTAAACCTTAGGTATGAAATATGAACAAAGCATATCCCTCTATAGTGTGTACTTGTCTCAATTAAAGTGGTAGTAAACTCTGCATTTTGATTTTTACCTACAAGTAAGCTTATAATAAAGCTCACCTGTTGGTAAAAAGAATATCTCCTAAACATGCACCGTTTAGAAGATATTCTAATGAGCAGCAGTCGGTGACGTCATCGGCGCACATGCTCTGAAGGAATGGCATGCTTGTGACGTTCCTTCAGAGCTGTGTGCCGTGGCCGAGTCTCCTGCGCTCACAGCCCGGCCATTCAAGAGGCCACAGACCACAAACTCGAAAGGAAGACCGAATGAAGATGGATGTTTCTGCAGCAATGACAGCACGTTGCTGGAGGGCTTCTTTTCAAGGTGAGACTTTTATAATGTGCTAGTATACAATGCATACTAGCACATTATGATACTGCCTTGCAGGAGGAAACGTTTTCTTTATTTTAAAGAGTTTACTACTGCTTTAAGTGAAATTTCTGTCTGCTCCCTTGTTCCTCTGCTATCAGCATAAATCACTTCTGACAGGTTTTCCTGACACCAAGAGAATAATGGTGACAGGCAGTACCAGGGCAGGGTCATCCAGTGCCCAAGGCAAAGATGCCAAACTGTGCCCCCCCCCCCCCCCCATTTATGATGCGCAAGCTTAGGGGATCCTACACTCAGCAGTCACTTGCTTGTCAAAATCACTGCTACTGTCACTACTCCTGTCAGTCTTGTAACAGATAGAAGGAGCCGCCATCCCTACAGTAAACTATTGCACCCAGGGCAGCTGCCCTTGCCACCCACCACTTGTCCCAGCCCTGGTGACAAGGGAGAGACCTCTAGCTGATTGACAGCCTCAGCTCTGTCCCTGTGAGCTGTGTGGAGGGGAGTGTGTCCCTTCCCTCCAATCAGCTTTCAGAGCTCTCTTCATTGAGCTCTGTAGTGTGTAATTTCAGCTCTGCTCCACTTTTTTTTTTATGAACTCTCAGACAAGCTTTATAAATTCAGCACTTTGAATTTACGTAGGGAAGAGAAGACTGCAGATAAACAGGTATGACTTATGAAGGAGGATTTGTTTCATCTCTGTGTATCACCCGATGTTTCACTGGGTATACAGTATGTGAGGGTTTACAACCACTTTAAAGTATTACTAAACCCAGGACCCTGCATTCACTATATCTGGTTTCCCACAGTACACACAACATGGAAATGCAATTATTTTAGTAAATATAAATTGCTAAATACCTTTTCTCATCAGCAGTTAGATCAGTCTTGTGAATTCTATCATTGTCCAGCAGAGCACTGGATAAAGCTTGTAGGAGGAGTTTTCATTCTGCTCTAGGAGGATGCAGAGCCCTTGACCTCTGTCTGGACAGTGCTGATTGGCCCTGTGCTGATCACATGCACTCTCCCAAGAAAAAGAAAACCTCTAGCAATGCACACCAAACTGAACATGTGCAGAGTGACTCCACATGATATGTCTTATCAGGAGATAAGAGGGGGGCACAGGAAGAAGGGGAGGATCAGAGGAGGCAGGATCAAACAGCTTTTTTACACAATGCAGAGGATTAACCCCTTATGTTCCACAGTGAGTATAACAAGCATGTTTTACTGCATATACAGACTGATTTTACTGTTGTGGGTTTAGTGAGGCTGCATTCATACTTAAGTGTTTTGTAGCTCGAAGCTCCAAAAAAGCTCAAACTTAAAAGACCAATTGTTCTCTAAGGTGCCTGTTCACACCCGATCACGCCAACAGGCACCATAGAGAACAATTGATTTTTTAATTTTGAACATTTTTGGCGCTTTGAGCTTCAAGCCACAAAAACGCTTAAGTGTGAATGCAGCCTAAGTGTGTGCCACATGAAACTCTTTTTAATCCTCCAATCATATATTTTCCCGCACAGTAAATTGATCGATAATACAATCTTACATACGATGGTTCAATGTATGGCCACCATTAGACTGGAAGATACAAAGGGAAAGGCTCAGCAGGGAAGCCTAGGCAGTTGTGGCCAGGAAGGTAGGTAGAGTAGTAGTGCAGTAGTACCTGGATAGTATGTGATGACAGCACTGGTCCTCCCACCAGCTTACAGTACAGGTCCATCCTAGGCTGGGGCTCCTCTCCTTCTCTCTCGGAGCTCCTCTCCTCCCCACAGGTAGCACTTGCCCTGATTCTGGCCCCTTCCGCCAGGTTGAAGTATGGAGGGTGAAGACTGAATCCACCTGCAGACCTCTGGCTGCCTACCATGTGCAGCATGGACAACCAAACCACAAATGCCAGCAGATCTCCTCTCCCCAGGATACCCCATGGGCACAGTGAGGTCCCGATCCTCGGAACCATGTTCAGGAAGAGACCGTCCTCCTAGATCCCAGCAGATTCCCTCCAGATCCCAGCAGATTCTCTCCAGATCGTGCGATCCATCCACACTGCCTCTCCCTGGATCCAGCGCTGCTGCTGCTGCTGTCAGAGACGGAAAACAAAGCAGAGCGCCCGCCTGTGTGAGTGACTACAGATGACACACCCCCGATCCCAGACCTGACCCGGTCACCCTCTCCGGGGTGGATCCACCGTGTCATCACAGCGCACAGTCCTTCTATCGGCTCATCGCTGGGGACCTGGGTGGCCTGCGATCATAGTACATAATGTCACGGCTCATCCAGAGGAACACTTTCTGTACAAGCGGTGATCTGATCGTACGCGTCCATCAAACGTCAACATGAGACTCCGTGTACAAGCGGTGATCTGATCGCACCAGTCCATCAAACGTCAACATGAGACTCCGTGTACAAGCGGTGATCTGATCGCACCAGTCCATCAAACGTCAACATGAGACTTCGTGTACAAGCGGTGATCTGATCGCACCAGTCCATCAAACGTCAACATGAGACTTCGTGTACAAGCGGTGATCTGATCGTACGAGTCCATCAAACGTCAACACGAGACTCCGTGTACAAGCGGTGATCTGATCGTACGAGTCCATCAAACGTCACCATAGGACTCCGTGTACAAGCGGTGATCTGATCGTACGCGTCCATCAAACGTCAACATGAGAATCCGTGTACAAGCGGTGATCTGATCGTACGCGTCCATCAAACGTCAACATGAGACTTTCTGTACAAGTGCTGATCTGATCGTACATCAAACGTCAACATACTCATCGTACACTTATTTTTTCGACCGATATTCCCAAAATAATTCAACAAAAATAAGATATGGAAAAGCACGCTAGAGAATCTCTGCGATCCAGACTGGGATGTTTGTTTCACTCTTCTACTGGGGACTCCACAGTCCACTGACAGCTGTCATCCCAGACTGGAAACAATGTAGCATCTGTACACTAATTGAGGGCTTTACATTGTCTCTGCTTGGTTCCAGGAATCAGAACGCTTTCGCTGTCATTTTTGCATTTTTTTGCACACATGTATACAAAATCAAAGATTACAAAAAACAAAGATATATTTTCTAAAAGCAGACACCCTAGAGCACGGGTGGGCAATGGTGGCCCTCCAGCTGTTGGTGAACTACAAGTCCCATCATCCCTCTGCCTTTGGGAGCCATGCTTGTAACTGTCAGTTTTGCAATGCCTCATGGGACTTGTAGTTCTGCAACAGCTGGAGGGCCACAGTTGCCCACCCCTGCCCTAGAGAATAAAATAGTGGTAGTTCCAAACTTCCCACAATTGAATGTCACACATGTCACACGATATTTCCACAAAGGTCTAGGAAATGCAGCATTTTGGCAAAAAACACACTAAAAGTGAATTTTAGGGCAAACAAACGCAATAAATTACTAAAAGTTTTGGTAAAATATAAAAAGATGAGGTTGTGTCGAGTAAATAGATGCCCAAAATGTCAAACCTTAACCCCTAGATGCCGAGCACACACAAATATATGGCCTCTCAGTGTCTGGGCCTTGACGCCGAGCGGTCGCATATTTGGGTACCATTTGAAAATACATATGTGCTGAGAGCGTGCGTCCTGGGGCTGTGGAAGCAATCGGGTAGCAGTCTGCCTGTCTGCAAGTGAAAGGGTGAAAGAGAACCTGTCACCAGAGAAAAGCTGTCAGAGATGCAAACCATCAAAATCATAACAAAATGACAGAAATCATAACAATGTACCAACATAGAGAAATGGAATTCAAAAACAAAAATACTCCTGAAAATGGAGGGATTGATTGTCAAGGCAGGGTTCAAACCTGAGCATAGCAGGAACCCACATTCCCACTCGCTTTCTTTTTCTCTTGTGCGATTTGGAGCATTTCTGCTGACATAGGACAGCCCATTCACTTGCAACAACATGTAACAAATGCCCCAAAGAAGCTCCAAAATCCTTTTTGGAGTGAAGAGGGGCGTGTTTTTTTACCACGCATTTTGGCGTGTTTGTAGCCAAACGCATTTTGGCATGTGAAGTGCGTTTTTTGGAAAAGGTTCAGATACTTTTTTTAATGCAAAAAGTTGCGTTTTTGGTTCTTTAGACTTCAATGAAAACGCAGATGTTTTTGTGTGTTTTTAATGTGTTTTGTGTTTAAAATCTGCCTAGCAACATGAAAAAAAAAAAAATTAAATAAAAAAAAAAGGAAAACCATCAAAAACGCGGCAAAAAAAGCATAAAAAACACAGGTGCAAAAACGCAAAACGCAACGCATAAACTGGTCAAACACAAACTGCATAGGTGTGAACCTAGCCTAACAGGAAGTGTGTTGCTGGCCAGATCACCAGGAGAAATAAAGGAAAAAAAGCCTTAAAGAAAGAAAACTAATGCAACCACCATACTAAAAGCAGAAATATACTCACCTTGTAACCAGTGATGTGCCGAACTGTGGCGCTGACATCTTTGAATGGCCGGCTTCTGGCTCTTGATCGCCAACCGCTGTCATGGGCCAGGCCGAGATGACATCACTCCCGTGCATGTGCAGGAGCTGTGTCAGCTACAACATTACTGAATTTGTGAGTGAGCTGCACTTGCACAGCTTACTGTACATGGGCAGACAGGCAGGTAAGTAGCTTTATAGCAGAAAAGACAAAACATTTCTATTCTGTAATACAAATCCTACTTGTCCACACATTTTCATTTTCCAGCCTAAAGTTCCACTTTAAGGATCGGTAAGGTGCAATATATTACATTTTTGTTTCTGGGTTTAATACCACTTTAAGTCACTAAGGTCAATAAAGTCCCATCCTGGTGGAAGGAGGAAAGTTCGTATTATTAAAAGATCAGGCTGTAGCTGCTGGATTTTATGACATACTTCCCTAAATCCTATACATTTTCTATAGAGAGAGACATTTTCTTGTTTTCTTTTCTTGTTGCGTGCATTGTGGGCTATGTGCTGTCATGTACAATGTCTCACTCTTCCACCTGGACTTCATCTCCCCCTGGCTCTGACCCCTGGTTCACATCTGTGTGGGTAGTGCCGCTGCGGATCCGCACAAAAATCCGTGCAGCCGCACCACCCGCATAGAGGAATGCGCACCCACGGGCGGGTGCCATTAATTCTAATGGCACGCCGCCCGCACTGGAAATCGCAATCGTACTGGAATCCGAGATTCTCATGCGGGCATTCTGACACTGGGGGAAACTGGCTAACTGCCACCGACATCCCAATAACACTAATACAGTGATCAGTGCTAATAAAAAGCACTGACACTGTACTAATGACACTGGGCAGGAAGGGGTTAACATCTGGGGCGTTCAAAGGGTAAACTGTGTGCTGTTTTACTGTGTGTGCTGAGTATGTTTTAGTAGGGAAACATGCTGCTGTGTATTTCTCTGCTGTACAGAGAAATACACCGCAGCATGTTACTGCTGGCAGCAGAGAGTTGTTTACACACAGGTCTCTCCCCGTCACAGTTTCTTTGCGATCCCTGGGTGCCAGTGGGGAATCTCCATCCGGGACCCAGTGATCGACATCTGTACCCGCCAATGGTGGCGCGGGTAGGGTGGCTCGTGGACATGCGCGGCAGTGAGGGGCAGTGGGACAGGAGGAGCGCAGTGGGACAAGTGAGGGGCAGTGGGACAGGAGGAGCGCAGAGGGACAGGTAGGGGGCAGCGTGACAAGGGGCCATGGGACAGGATCAGGGCAGCGGGACAGGAGTAGCGCAGTGGGACAGGTGAGGTGCAGCGGGACAGAAGTAGCGCAGAGGGACAGGTGAGGGGCAGTGGGACAGGAGGAGCGCAGAGGGATAGGTGGGGGGCAGCGTGACAGGGGGCATGGGACAGGATCGGGGCAGCTGGACAGGAGGAGCACAGAGGGACAGGTGGGGGGCAGTGTGGACAGATGGGGGGTAGTGGGACAATGTGGGGGACAGGAGGGGGGAAGTGGAACAGGTGGGGGGGGCAGTGTATCGGGGGGACAGTGAGACAGGAGTGGGGAAGTACCAGTCCTCCAAGCACTTACCTGTCCAGCAGCAGCTCCTCCAGATGGTGTCAGGATCACTCCAGGATAGGTGCCTGTGTCACTTCTCCCCCAAGATCCCCAGCGGCCACCAAACTTTAAACTTGGCACAATACAATCAGGCAGGTACCGTTCTCCTGGCAACCGCCAAACCCAGACACATCCATTGGATTGCCAGAGAAGAATGATTGGTAGCTCCAGAGAACACATCTCCACTGCTCTAGAGTCCAGTGGCAGGGTCCTTTGCGCCACTGCATCCAACACTTTGCATTGCAGTTGGTGATGTAAGTTGGATGCTGCTGCTTGGCCATAGAAACCCATTCCATGAATGTCTCTACGCACTGCTGTTGTGCTAATCTGAAGGCCACACGAAGTTTGGAGGTCTTTATTTATTGGCTCTGCAGACAGTTGGTAGCTTCTGAGCACTGTGCGCTTCAGCATGCGCTGACCCCGCTGTGTCATTTTACGTGGCCTACCACTTCGATGCTGAGTTGCTGTTGTTCCCAGTTGCTTCCATTTTGTTATAATACCACTAACAGTTGACCGTAGAACATTTAGTAGCAAGAAAATGTCATGGATGGACTAATTGCACAGGTGGCAACCTATCACGGTACCACGCTTGGATTCACTGAGCTCCTGAGAGCGACCCATTCTTTCACAAATGTTTGTAGAAGCAGTCTGCATGCCTAGGTGGCTTGATTTTATACACCTGTGTCCATGGAGGTGATTGGAACACCTGAATCCAATGATTTGGAGGGGTGACCCAATACTTTTGGCAATATTGTATTATATATATATATATATATATATATGGCGTGTGTGTGTGTTTGTCCTAGTCCTGTATATATTGTGTATACATCATATTCTAATATATAGATAAGTTATTATATGCCTTAACTTTCTATGTTCACAAAATTGCTTCTTTTAGATGTACTGGACAACGCGATCTT